CCGCGTCTGCTCCCAGCGCTTCGGTACGGGGCCGGGCCGGGGCGCGAGGCAGGGCGGTGGGAAGCAGCCGGGAGCAGGGGCTAGAGGTTGCTTCGCCAGGTCTCCAATATAACACGATCGCATTGGAAGCTCGAAATTGTCGTTTTTGCTGAAAAACTATCGTACGCTGAAAAAAATATGCCAACAAGTGTTTTCTTTGTATTGCTCATTGTAACTCGCTAACGAGAGCTGGGTCAACACATTCGGGCATTTTTTTATTTCGAGGCAAGCCGTCATAAAAAAGTGCTGAGAGTACCCGCCGAGGTGCAGCGGCTTTAAACCCAGTTCCTGGAAATGGCAGTTTCCTCCCTTGCTTGCTCCGAGGGCCTTACAGCTAAGGGCGAGCAAAACTCGGGGGCATCCGAACTCCGGGCTTGGGCCTGTGCCGAGGATGCCCACCAAAGGTTTTGGAAACATCTGAAGCCCCAGGGGTGGGTAGAGGATGTTTGCTGGTAGGAGGGCCACTTGTGGTTCTGGACACTTGGATTTGGCATTAGTTTTGGCTAATTTGGCTGTGAATACAAATTAAATAAAATAGTAATAATTTTTTTTAAAAAGTCTCCACCTCCTGAAGGCTCAGATCAAGCGTAGTGGTTTCTTAACCTGGCAGGGGAAATACCATATATCTGTGTCCACAAAAGCAGTTTTCCTGAACCACACTGCAGGAGAACTGCTCTTCTGGCGTGGTTCAGTACCTGTGGAGGTGCAGCAACTTTAAGCCCAGTTTATGGAAATAAACTTTCCATAAAGTTTAAAGCAGCTTTAGGCCCAGTTTATAGAGTCTGAGCTAGTCTGATCTCCCCACCCACCAGACATGATAGACAGAGTCCTGGAGGCCAAGCAGTGTTAGGGGGAAGAGCATCCAGCCAGAGGCCGTGGGGTGGGGTGGGGCTGGGGGCAGAGTCCCAGGGTCATAGGGTGCAGCTGGGAGAGGAGCACCTAGGGCAGGGGCAGACAATTGTTTTGGGTGGAGGGCTGCTTACTGAGTTTTGGCAAACCATCGAGGGCTGCATGACAGGCAGCCAGGGGCAGATAAATAATACTTTTCTAAAATTTTTAGAGGCCCCGCAGGCCAGGTAGGATGGCCTGGCGGGCCGAATCTGGCACGCAGGCCACATTTTTCCCACCCCTGACCTAGGGCCAGGGGCAGGATCCTGGGGGTTGGGGCCAGTGCTGTGCTAGGTTGAGAGGCTGGGGCTCCCCCTTGTGGCATCATGCCACCTCTTCAGCTGTGCTCCAGTGAAGACAGAGGGTGGGGGTTCTCCCTGGGGTTCTTTGAAATGGCACCACATGCTACAGGTAGCGTGCCATTTATTAGCAAAGGCAAGTCTTCAGGGATGAACCATTCCCTACCCTGGAATCCCTCTCTGTCTCTTCCAGGAGAGCAGGGGTATAGTTTCCAGGTCATGGGAAGCTCCTTGGGATCAGCAGGGGCAGGCAAAGTGATCATACCTGAAGAAGATAAGGCGGCTTCTGGATGGTTATTGGCCCTCCTGTTTCAGAGCTTGAGCTAATTTCTGCTAGAGACCTGGCTGAGACCAAATGTAGGAGGACATTATTCCCCCCTATCTGCTACTGTGGAGTTTTGATATCCAGCTCTGTAGCATGTGGTCCTGGGTGAAGAGGACCACAGATCTGGTCTCTCCTAGCAGCTCTTGAGAGTTTTGATATGTATCGTTTCTTCTTAGGGAGTAGAGTGGTTGAGATTGGAGCCCACTGGATTCATGGCCCCTCTAAAGGAAACCCTGTCTTCCAGCTAGCTTCTGAGTATGGCCTGCTGGATGAGGAAGCCACATCAGAGGAGAACCAGCAGATTGAGACTGGGGGGCATCCAATCCTCCCCTCTCTGTCCTATTCGAGCTCAGGGAGAATCTTGAACCCAGAGCTGGTGATCTCAATGAGGAATCTGTTCTCTACCCTCTTGGGTCAAACGCACATGTTCCTGAACTTGGCACAGGTGCCTGTGCCAAGTGTTGGTGAGTACCTCAAGAAAGAGATTGCTGAGCAAGTGAAAGAATGGACAGATGATGATGATGAAACCAAGCAGCTGAAACTGGCAGTCCTGAACACATACTTCAAGCTGGAGTGCTGCGTGAGTGGGACCCACAGTATGGACTTGGTTGCCCTGAGGTCCTTTGGGGAGTATGTCACACTCCCTGGCCTGGACTGCACCTTCCCTGGGTGAGTAAATGTAAGATAGGGAGGGGCCTTCTGTTTGCTTGCAGGCTTTGGGAATGACTTGCTGGGGGTATCTGGCTATTTCAAGGCAGAGCTGTCTCTGGGTGAGCACTCCCAGCACTTCCCAGCAGCAAGTAAATCCCAGCCTTCTGCACATAGCACCAGGAGCCTTCCTCCCTACTGGGCTATGAAGTGGGCACAGCTAAGGGAAGAATGAGGAAAATCTGGGGTTGGTAGGGAAGGCTCTTGTCAGCTTCTGACTTGTATTAGGCTCATTACATCATGGACCTGAGATCTGATCCCAGCTAAGCCTTGCTTTGGGAGGTTCTGAGGGCTCTCCCCCAGAAGTTACCCCAGTGGCCCTAGGGTCAGGGGTGTCAGCTGAACCAGGCAGGATGCTGCCTTTGTCAAGAGACAGGGGACAGAGATGGTAGGTCCCTCCCTAAATAGCACTCTCCTGTGATTTCCTTTCCCTCTCTCCTAAGCCTATTTGTGGGAACAAGGGAGGACTGTTTGGCCATTTCCCTCTTGGGGCCAGCTGAATGTGCACAACAAGCTTTCTGCCTGCTAGTCTGTCTGTCTGTGAGCTTGGGATTTGCTTCCATTCCCAGGTAGACCTAGATTGAAGTGCTGATGTGATATGCTTCCTTTCTTTCCCAGTGGCTACGGAGGCCTCATAGACTGCATGCTGGCATCCCTGTCCAAGGAGAGCATCTTGTTTAACAAACCAGTGAAGACCATTCACTGGAGAGGCTCCTACCAAGAGGAGGGCTCAGAGGGACGGACATTCCCAGTCCAGGTGGAGTGTGAGGATGGAGAGACATTCCTAGCAGATCATGTCATAGTCACAGTCCCTCTAGGTGAAACATCCTCTGGTCCCTGCTTTCTCCCATGGCATCTTAGTCCCTGCTGATTCTCCCTGGGTGATACTACTTGCTTTTCATAGAAAAATGTGAAGGGACTGACTGCTTTCTTGAAGTGCTTATGGGTGAGGCCAGAAGTCCCTCACCTAGGCCCACAATGCTGCTCAGTCATTGGTGCTCTTCCTGCTGATCTAAAGGGCAGTTCTACTTTGCTGTATTATTGAGGCCATTCATTATCTTTCATACCAGACACTGGGCCAGATTCATCCCTGGTGAAACACCATTGGTGTAAGTAGTGGTACTCCATGGAATAGCCTAGTCCAGTAATAGCCTAGTCTCCTTTTCCTCACCAAAGAGCTCTATACCAAAGAAACCAAACTGCACTGTGCTAGAGCCTTGAAACAAACAAACTCTGAATAGTGAGAGAGAGACCCTATCGTCTCCTGAGCTGCCCTTTCAACAGATGTTATGGAAGTCTTTAAGGTAGAAAAGACCCACAGTTTCAATTTCCACAACCACTCATGCATGTACTGGTCTCCAGCATTGTGCTTCTTCATAAAAACCCAAAGCTTGGGGGCTTCTGGGACACGGGTAAGATGAGTAGCACCTGCTGGTATTGTAGGGGAATGCTAAGATACTGAAGGTGTTTCAGATGAGAGATCATCTATAAAGGTTGGGGGGGAGCCAACTGAATAAACCTTGGATTATGCCTGTGGCAACTGTTTAGGAGGTAGAGGAAGGATGGATTCATCAGAACATTCCCATCCTGACAGACTGGAGGACTAGCAGGGTGACGCTATGCAGAGGGATATGGGAAGCTCAGTGTGTCTGACTAATGAAGGAGGGATTTGTCCTCAGACTGTAAATCTGGTGTTTACCTTCAGCAGGGGAGAGAGAGGCTTTTCCCACACATCTGTCTGGGGGAGGGGAGAAGGAAACCAGGGTGCCCTATTTGCATTTCTGACCCATCCTTGGAGCCACCTGTCAAGGAGAAGTCTTTTGGGACACCTTTGGTATTTTTAAAACAAGTAACCAGGAGGAAAACCCTCCTTAAAGCCTTTCCAAATTCCTTTGTTGACACTACAGAACAACCAAGCCCAATCCTATCATATTTCCCTAACAGGTTCTTGGAGCTACCTTCTCTGTCTTCAGCCACTTTTGGACAGGTCAAGGCAACCCTAACGGTGCTCAGCTTAGCTTGGTAATGAAGGCCCCCTCCAAAGGCCTGATTATGCCAGACCAGTGATACCACGTTCTCTTGCTAAGGTTCTCAGCAAACAGGCCCTCCTCTGCAGGTTAAATTTGATCATGAACTTTATCCACAATTCCCAAGAGAGTTAAACAAAATCTATAATAGGCCTACAGCACTTATAGGCCTCACAGTGACCATGATATTCCTATGACTAAGGGGAGGCCATGTCCGGCAGCAAGCTCCCGAAAGGATGTTGTGAGCTTTGGTTTTCCCCTATTATAAAAAGATCTCTGTCATTTGTCTGCAGGGGTGAAAATTCCTGCCTCTGTCCCCAGGCCATTGAATTTGGCCGGTGTACATGATCACAGTGTGGGGGGACCCTGCCTGCTTGGGGCTGGTCACAGAGACTGCTCTGTCTTCAAATGTTGCTGTAATAGATAACTCAGCTGCATTGTCCTTTCTTTCTAGGTTTCCTTAAAGAGCATCACAAGACTTTTATTCAGCCCTCGCTGCCTCTGCAGAAAGTGGAAGCAATTAACCAGCTGGGTTTTGGAACAAACAATAAGATCTTCCTGGAGTTTGAGAAGCCATTCTGGGGCCCAGACTGCCAGCTAATCGAGGTTGTCTGGGAAGATGAGTCTCCTCTTGCTGCACCTAGCACCAACCTCCAGGCTGTCTGGTTCAAAAAGCTCATCGGCTTTGTGGTCCTCCAGCCTCCAGAACAGTATGTGACAAAGATGGGCTATTGCTTGAGGGTTTTGATGTCACTTGAGAGCCAGCTCAAATTCCTGGTCCAGGCAGTTCCAAACTTCTTGTGTGTGTGCAAGGACCTAGTCAGAACACCTCCCACCCTGCAGTGCTTGTGGCCTTTTATCACTAGAGCTGCGCATGAATTCCACTGGCTTGTCCCAGTCAGCTAAGTAGGAAAGATGCCCCGGAGCAGTTCTAGGGCAGTGCAGAAGTAGGTCATCCACTTGGGGATTTAATTCTTTGTTTCCTGCACTTGCAATAGCACAGTTTTCTGGACCTGGCCCTAGTGTAGTGTGCTGCCTTTCTGCTTTGGCAAATGGGCAACTCCAGTCCTGTCCTCATGGCTCAATTCTGCCAGGCAGCAGACATGAGCACCAAGATCAGTATAGGCTCAGTTACCATTTCCTGGCAAGATCACTGTGTAGTCATGTCCGTGTTGGGCTTGGCCATATAATGTGGAGGGGATCCAGGTATTTCCAGAAGAGGATGCTAGAGCAGGAAATGATTTGGGTGAGATTCGTTCATGCCTCCTGTCTTGCCCTCGTCTCCGTAGTTAGGGAATTCCACAAGTAGCTCTGTACTTGCCATAGACAGAACAGCAAATGAGTAAATCCAGCTGGCTATGAATTTGACATGGATGTCAGGACAGACACTCGGGCTTTCTGAATTCAATAGGAATCGATTTGATCACTTATTGATTCCTGCACCCAGCTCACTAAATTATGAACGATCTAGTGTGAGCCTTCTAAAGGAGGTATCCTTAGCACACTGTTCTCACATTTTGCCTCATGTTTTGATGGTTTCTTACCACAGCATGTAACAACTGGAACTCACTCTGTCTCTATCTGCTGCATAAGAGCCCTCTGGTTCTCAATCTCCCTTTGAAGACTATGCTAAAATCACTCCTTACATTTCTTTTGGACAAACTAAAAAGAATGAGCTCTTCTCTTAATGCCACACTTAGCTCTGTTAAGAGGACTCCATTTTCTTCAGAATAATGTGTACATCTGCTAATTTACATCAGCATAACTGCCTTTCTGGGCCCAGGGCAGTTGGTCTTCCTGGAAATGAAGCCATTCTTTTGATGGGAATTGTCTTTTTTATTTATTTTTATTTTTTAGGTATGGGCATGTTCTATGTGGCTTTATTGCTGGGAAGGAATCTGAATACATGGAGACCCTCAGTGACAGTGAAGTTCTCACTGCCTTTACACACATCATTCGTAAACTGACAGGTACGTCGTCTTTTTCCAGGGCTAGCTAACACATCATTATTGATCATGCCTGGCTGGGAATTTTGGGTGTCTCATTGTCCTAGCAATCAACTTGTTTTGCCTTAAAGGGATTGCTGGGAAATGCTGAGCACCTTGTCTCTGAAGGCCAAACCTTTTTCAGAGGATTCAAAAAGAATCAACCAGTCACAGGCCACTTCTGAAAATGCAGGTTATGAAATGGAAGCCAAGGTTTACAACCTGCTTGAGTCTGAACCTGGAAAGTGAGCCCCAAGCCTGCATAGGAGCACATTTTTGGGGCAGCGTCACCTGTTAAGAGTTCAGTTTTTTTGCCTTAATGTTGGAACGGTCCTGAGATCTGGCTGTCCTGAGGCAGCTGCTTGTAATGCAGGGAAAGGTAGCTTCTATTTTTGAGCCCCGTGGTGGCTTGTATGCAGTGTTTAAATCGATGGCAGTGTTCCTTCCCTTTTACCACAGCATCCCTACCTTCTGTGGCATCATGGCAATAGAAATACTCCATCGCTGCCCCACACTTTGATCAGCAAGGGTTTCTGGACACTAGCTCATTTGGAAGGAGGTCTCCTTTGCATAGTGCTCAGTTGCTTCATTTGTGTCCTTCAGGGAACCACCACCTGGCTCCACCAACAAAGGTGCTGAGATCTAAGTGGCACAGTGCTCCATACACCAGAGGTTCCTACAGTTACGTGGCTGTTGGCAGCTCAGGAGAAGACATTGACACACTGTCTCAGCCCCTTCCTGAGGAGACCTCTGACCCCAGGGTAATAATTTTGACCTCTTGGCTAGCTTGAAGAGCAGAGCAGCAGAATGTTCTACCTCTAGCACTTCCTGTGCTGGGGCTGGGAAGTAGGTAACTGAAGTGTCCTGGCAGTTCATGGAGATCAGGGTCCGATTTTTTGTTTAATTCTCTTACCCCCTTTCTCAGCTTGCCCCCTCCTTCAGCAGCCCCCCCCCCCCCCCCCCCCCCCCCAATCCCTTCTGCTTTGACTAGCGTGTGGATTCTACTGGGAATTAGGTTCTGTCCTGCTGCCAGGAGGTGGCAGGACTAGAAGGAGCCATACCCAGGAGCAGGATCCCCAGGCGGAGCCGCTATTAAGTCAGGGGCTTTCTTTTTCACAAGGCCCAAGAGATGCCCCTGCCCAGAGAAGGCTATGCTTCTGCAGAGCAGTGGCAGCCTTTTTACTGGACTCCTTCTGCCACCTAAGCTCCTTTCTGGATGCACTTGAGCTCTACTCAAATTGGCCCAAGCTACTCCCTTGAATGATGGGTGGCTGGTGACCTTTCCCCCTGGGGCTCACATATTGGTATGCATAAAAAAGTGCCCAGTGACTTTGAGCATGGAGCCCACACCCTGTACCTGGATCTTTGAGTCCCACAACTATCCTCCCTGAAGGAAGGGAGTCTGGGAGCTTGCTTCTGCTAGACTTAAAACATGTCTGGCACTGTTGGGATATGGAGTGTTTCCCTCCATTTGGCTGCATAAATCAGCCTTGGCACAGCTCTTTAGCATGCCATGCTATACTCACCTCTGCTTCTGCCCCTCCTGTTGCAGCTACTGCAGGTTCTGTTTGCGGGAGAAGCCACACATCGGACTTTCTACTCCACTACGCACGGCGCCTTGCTGTCAGGCTGGCGGGAGGCTGATCGCCTCCTCAGCCTGTACGACGCCTCTGAATTCCACCAGCCCAAGCCAAGACTCTGATACTGCTTCTCTTCCTGCTGTTGGTCCTGGGGTTCCAGTCATCTGACCAGTGACTACTTTCGTCCCACATCTTTACTAAGGTGAGGGGATGGTCTTCCTCCTCACGACCAGCTTGCTGTCATTTGCTTTTTTGTATCCAATCTATCCAGTCACCCATGTGACTTGACTACCAAGAGATTTTCTATATTCCCTGAATGCTGAAGCTGCAGATGCACAAGTGAGCACAGGGACTTGGGAACCAGGACAGCCCTGAGCATGCAGCATATTGCACGCCAGAGGAAAGAATAAAAGTTCTTATTTTGGGGGCTTTTATGGTTGCACTTTGTCTTCTCTGTCTGTGTCCTGGGAATAACCCAGTAAGCAGAGCTGGAGAGTATAAAGGTGTGATACAGGGTCAAGGCCAAAAATCCTGCTGACACCTGCTGCTTCCATCTGCCTCAGGAGGGGTAAATGTTCAGCCAGGGTTTGATGGAAAGAGGGTCACTACCTTACCAGGAAAGGGCAAAAAACAGTCAGCTTCTTGACTGGTGGATGTAGACTGCAGGTTGGCATGGGGTTAGTGGGTAGGCATGGGGGGTGTGTTTGGGTGGGCATGGGGTTTGTGGGTGGGTATGGGCTGTGTACCATCAGGCTGGGTGGGCTCTATTATTCCACATGCAGCTTCTAACACTCCAGTGTGAAGCTACATGTGGAGGCAAATGGAGCCTGCCCAGCTGGATGGTGCATGACTTTGTGCCTCTATGTGCTGGAGTACTGGAAGCCCCAGGTGGAGGGCTGGCCTGGCCCAGTGGCACATGAACTGGGAGCCATGCACTATTGGGCTGGGTGGGACGCTGCACATAGAGGCATGGAGTCATGCACCATGGGCTGGATGGGCTCCTGCTTGCCTTCACACGCACCTTCCCACCGGAGTGCTGGAAGCCCCATGTGGAGACCCACCTGGCCGGATGGTGCGCAGCTCCCGGTGCACACACTGGCTGGCTCTGTGCCTCCATGTGCGGCTTCCAGTACTCCAGCAGGAAGAGCTGCACATGAAGGCATGGAGCATGCCTGGCCCAATGGCACATGGCTCCTGCCTGCAGTGCCCTAAGCCCCACATCCTGGCATGGAGCCAGCCTGGTCTGGTTTGAAGGTTTGTGCCATCAGGCCAGGCCAGCTCCATGCCAGCAATTGCAGGCTCTGGGACGGTGTGCACCACCAAGGACTCTGCCTGCTGTGGCCATGAGTGCCCCGAGGGCCCTCTGCCTGCTGCTGCCGAGCCACCTGCAGTGGGGGGTGTGCACTATGGGGGGATGTGTGGCAGGGGGGCCCCACACTTGCCCACAAGCCATCCGAACACAAACCCCACATACTCCCATACCCGCACCTGCTCACCAACCCCACACACAACACCCACCCTCCCACAAACACCATACACCTACACCTTCACAAATCCCCCCCCACACACACCACACCCCCCAACCATACAAAGTATCTGAACATATTTCTGAAGAAGGTTCAAATAGTGTTATATTTAGTTTAATTTGTTAAAAAAAGAGAAAAGAAAAAGAAAAAATAATAATTTAGCATAATTTTGAATTTTTCTGTGGATAATTCTATCTCTTTATAGTCTAGAACAGGACTGTCAGACTCACCTGACATGGGGCAGCAGCAGTGACCCCTGTGGCAATGAGAGCAGCCACTGTGGCAGCAGTGGGGTGGCAGTGCCAGTGGAGCTACTTGGCCAGTGGCCACTTGCCATGGCAGAGGTATACAAGTAGCAGCAAGCCAGGTGACCACAGGGAGAGCAAGGACTACATTGCTGCATCCAGACCTTGCTTGTTCCCCTGCCACTGAGGGTCACATCCACCCAGGGCCCTGGATTCCACAGCAGGCCCTGCTGACCCCTAAATTCACTGGCCCACCAGTAATCCAGTGGGCTGGATGGAGCAGTGCTGCAGGATGAATCCAGCCATGGTGGCTGTATATTTGACACCCCTCATTTAGGGGTTCGATTCGCATGTCATTTATACTAATGACTACACATGCTGGAAATGTAGTAGCATAACTGTTGAGCACTCGATGCACGCTGGGGCATCATAGCTTAGAACAAGCCTCGAAGTTCAGAGCTGGGCTTCTGGTACCAAACGTTCCTTCCTATTACCGGCAGGGGAGACTGACACCAAATTTCCTCCCAGAAATGAAAGACTATTTTGGCCTCCCCTCAGCTGGTCCCCAAGGACTACCGCCAAGGTAGGCCCATAAGAGACTTCCACCATTCTCTGATCTCTGTTTACATGGCAGGTCCATTGGGATTTGAGCCCTAAACTCCTGAGATGATAAACCTGAGGGACAGAGACTGAGACAAAGGTCTAAAAGAGAGCTTGAGGTTGTGACACAAGGCAGTGCTGCATGAGTGAGAGAGGTTGTGGGGTGGAGGCAGATGAAATGGCTGAGTTGGTAGGATAGAGATGCACCTCTTTGAGAGAACTTGCCCTGGCATGCTGGGACCTTGGGCTGAGTCTGCTTTCTTCAGCCAGTTGCAGAGACGACCCAAGCAGGGTGCAGGGCCCAGGGTAAATCAGCCTGTGCGGGGCCCCACCCCCAGGTACGAGGAAGCTGGCAGCAGATGGGCGGGGGGGGAGGTGCTAAGTGTCTGGACATGCCAGTTTTGGTGGCGGATTCAGCAGCAGGGGTGCCAAGTGGCCAGACTTGAAGTTGGTGGTGGTGCAGAGTCACCGTGGCCACTCTGCCCAGCTCCGTGGAGCCCCCAAAGCATGGGACCCAGGGCGGTTGCCCCAATTTGGGCCAGATGTCTCACAGTCATAAGTTTATCAAAACAGATAAGGGATCAGGTAAAAACATTCCAAGTGTTGGAAGTAATATGCCTGGAGGTGTACCCAGACAAAAGCCGAGTTCATCAGTGGAAGACAGAAGGAGAACTGAGTGAAAGAAAGAAATACCCTGCCACGTTCTGGGGGTACCCTACAGAATGACAACAGGAACGATTCCTTCCCCTGCTCCTGAGCCAGACATCTTATCAAGATATGTCCTGTCTTAGGCCACCATCTCCTGTTGGAGGTAGACTAGTAGCTGCTTTTGTGCTTCCTGTTATGACCACAGCAATAGTTACAGGGGAATAAAAGCTGTTGCTATGGCCAAAAGTCTAGCCATAGCACGTAACAGGGCCAAAGTGTACTTCTGCTCCATAGTGAGAGTCCTGATAAAGAGACTGCTCCTCCTAACTTTGGAATATGCATACTAGTGGGAGGCCGTAATGGTCTTTTCCTCTAAGGTGCTCTGATGCCCTCTGGGAGCCAATCCAAGTTTGTTCTGCACTCCAGTCACAACCAGGGCATCACACTCATTATCTGCCATGCTTGACGTTAATAACTATAAATTCGGGATGTAGTCCTCAGAAAACTGAAGGTGAGACCTTAGGTCTGCTACTGATGCGCTGCCATGATGTAGCATTGGGCCACCTATGTCTGGCCTAATCTTTAACTAATTACACTTTGAACAGGGATCTCTACCCTTGATTGGGCTTTTTCAGCTTCCATTAGTCCAGAGGGCCCACTCAACATTATTAACTCAGCACTCTTCACTAGGTGCTTTTGGCCCCCAGTGATCACAAAACCAGCACCCTTTTTTCCTGACACCCTTAGTGGCCTCCCTGCTTCTCATAAGCCACCCTATGCCTTGGAGTTAAAGAAACACAAATAAAACCTGTACATGTTAGGCATGTCTACACAAGACATTTACTGCACAGTAGACTAATTAGCTGCACAATAAACATTGTACATCTACACGCGCAACCCTATTAAGCCACAGTAAACTAATTAACTACATCAAGGCAGTACAGTAAAAGCTCTGTTATCTGGCACCCCCTGGCATAACAAAATATGCTGGTTAATTGAGTGGCCCAGGCCGCTGCTTCTCCTGCTGCCCCTCCCGTGGCATCGCCGCCCCTCCTGTGGGCCCTGCAGTCTGTTATGCCCCCAGGCCGTGGGGGCTCGGCAGCACAGGCTGCTTTGCCCCAGGCCTTGGGGGCTCGGAGAAACTGGAAGTGTCACTTTATCTTACAAGCCGGCATCCCCTGTGGATGCCAGCTCCAGCTTGTTGCAGGAGGACGGTGTTGCCTGGCTGGCCCTGAACTAGGGCTCGCTGCCCTGGGGTACATTGCCCAGCCAGGCATCATCTCTGCGGCTAGGGACAGCATCTGCTGTAGGGAGTGGCTAACACACCCACCAGGTAAACCCCACACAGGGAGGAGGGCTGTGGGGGGTGCCATGCCCACGCATACCCACACCAGCTCACCCACCCACCCATCCCTGGGTTGCCTGAGGGGCAGGGGAGCCCTCCCTTCCTTTCCTCACCTTCCTTGGCTAAGCTCCTTCCACCTGCCCCAACCACTGGAGTTTCTTCCCCACAACGTGCAGGGAGGTGGGAGTCAGTTCAGGACTTTATTAAGTTTCCATCAGGCTCCCAGCTAGGCAGTCAGGGCCCATCACATGCAGAGAAACTTGGTGATGGTAGCAATCTCCATGGCCAGAGAGGTCAGGCACTCATAACATGCATAAGCAGAGATACCCCTCCAGGTGGTGGTGCACATTGTGGGGAAATGTGGGCTTGCCTGGGGTACTGTCAAAGAGCAGGGCCCCATGCCAGGTTCTCAGCTGCACCCAGGAAACCACTGTGATCAGCAACAGCCCGGCATAGCAGGATGGGCAGTCCTTGGAGCACTCAAACAGCTTGTTGTGGCGCATGTGGGTGATTCTGACCAGGGACACACGTGGGTCACAGCCCATGGGCATCAAGGGCCCGACCCCAGGGCACCTCTCTGGAAAGGCCCACCAGGAGGAGTCAGGGGCTGTCATCAGGTCTGCATCCCAGCCAGCCGGGAGCCCTTGACCCCCAGAACCCAGGTGCTGCAGGTCTGGCAGCATGGGAGCAAAGTGCTTGGCCTGTGGGGAGAAGGCAGGGAGTTGCTCCAGGGTCGCTGTGGCAGCTGCTGAGAGGCACCTGGCATAGCCTGGCCTGGGTAGGGTATGGGGAAGGCAGGTTGCTTGCGGCAAGCAGCTTGCCTGCCGCCTGCTGTGGAAGCAGGGAGGAAAGGCTCACCCAGTGGCTGCCCATGGAAGGGGTCACCTGGGCAACTTACCGTGGTCCCTGGGTGCTGATGCACATGATTGCTGAACTGAGGGTGGGCGGTGCACAACCCCTCTGTACAGTGCATGTTATCGCTGAAACGTTGCAAACTTTCACAATGAGTCTCTCCGTCCTTGTTCTGCAGAATCAGCTGCTACATGCAGGGGAAAAAGCACCTAGCACTACTGGCGGTGGGGCCCCAAGGACAGTTCCATCTGCTGTGTTCCTGCAAAAGAAGCAAAGGATGTGGCTCAGGAAGGTCACACACAGCATGCCCAGAAGTTACCAAAGACCAACCAACATGAAACAGCCAGGACATAGCTACCTAGCAAGGAGCGCAGCAAAGGAACAGTAGTGAAGCTCAGCTCCTCCCTTGGGAATCTCTAGAGGCTGCAAATGTTAAGAGAAACAAGATCCTCCCAGCTTAGGAACCTGGACACTATCTGCTCCTACACTTGTAGGAGTAGAACTGAACTACTGTAACCCTGTTTTGTACAGGTTTAAAGCTGCTGCGATTTGGCCCGCTTATACTAGTGGGGG